GATAACAAGGGCATGAGTGACCATTTGAAGGGCATCCCGATCCAGGAAAGGGCGTAACTGGTGCACAACCCAGAGCTGTGCAAAAGCCCTCCTGGCCTTTTGTAATCTGCATGGCTTTTTTTTCAATTTAGGGAATAGATCACAACTTTAAAATATACTGTATGCTTCTCTTCAGGATGTTATTCATGTGTAAATGTCCAAAATATGCATGTGTAAAACCCCAGTTACCATTTCACACAGAAATAAAATTCCATTTGGATTCCATACCCGTTCTGTGAAATCAAAAGTTTACTGTAGAATGTTTGGGATATCGTTTCAACCCTCCGACTCTGCCATAAGCACCAGTAGCCCTTTCCAGTGCAGTGATCCCATCAGAGGAAAAAGTGCAGTGGAGACTCTCATCTTTGTTTATATCCACTCTATTTCCAATTTAAACTGCTATTGGGGAAATGGAGGGAATTATAAAAACAAGTTTAAACAGATAGGCCTTCCTGAAGTTTGCTGTAAATTCAGTCTCCCAAAAATGGATGTAAAGCAAGACCCTTAAAGCTTGGAGAGGTAACATAGCAAGATTACTTCTTTGTAAAGAGCAGAGGATCACATTGTTCCCTTTCACCCTACCAATAAGAGTAACTACCATGATGAATGCCTCGTTAGCAAATTCTTAGCACCTCTTAGCACACTACCTGTCCCTCTGAGTTGGTGGGACACACAAAGAAGTATGTTGGCTTACAGTTAGTCTCTAGAGTAGAGATCCTAGGATTTGTCTTGGAATAAAATGGCACTTGGGGCATTTTGGTGCAAAGAGCTCCACAGTGATGAGTATTGTCCTTACCTTTAGCAGGGATGGCTCTTGTTCCTTTTTTGCCTATCAGAGTTTTGGTCACTTATTTGGGCTGTGTTGAATGCATTCTACATGATGTATCTGTGCAATATTCATATGACTGAGTTGTTAATTAATAAAAGTTGGTGGAAGCTGCCTGTGCAAATATATCTGCTGTCAGGCAAAACCTTTTTGGGCGTGGGATTTTATCACAAACAGCAGGCAAAAAAGGAACAGCTGCAGGGACTATTGTGTGCAGAGTCCCTGCACACTAAGAGTCGTTACCTACTTTACACTTTCCATATCTTATTAAAACATGTTATGTGAAACCCACAATTCATCAAATTGGGACAGGTGGAGTAGAGGAATACATGCAAAGGAGTGACAGAGTAGGTTTAATTATGAATTAAAAGGCTGCAATGTATGTTAGAAACTATGAATTGGTGTCCTCTAGGTTGTTGTATGTATACAGGTAGGAATCCATAGGCTGGTAATATTTTTATGTTGTGATCTTATGAATGATAATGGAAGAACCAGGGACAAGATCTAGGAAAAACTGAGCAACATTCTGAATGAATGTCTACAGGAAAACGTTAGTTTGTCAGGTGACATAAAAGGATAGTGAGAACCGAAAAAGAAAGTGCAGAATAAATGATTGTGTCATTTAAAGATCCAAGAATGAATAAGAATGCTGACTGTTATTCATAGTTTAAGCATAAGCCTATTCATGCTTATTCATACATGTGGCAAAGGCTGATTGATTGTACTGTTTATGACAAAAGATCAAGAAAACTAGTGAAGGATATCAGAATGACAGTCCCTGAATGTAGAACAGATCTTTTTGGATAGTGTCAAGTATAGATTGTGGGAAAACACAGAAAATGAAGAAAATAAAAGAAGTGGAAGAAAATAGAGTTAAAATTAAATGGCCAGAGGAAGAGAAAGTAAAAATCCTATATGAAAAAGTATCAGACAATAGCATTTTCTCCCAACAGAATCAATGGAAAGTGGGTCTAGGGTATATGGAAGCCACTTCAAATAGATTGAAAAGAATTATGATACAGAGTGTCATGGCAGTTTGGAAAGCTCCACTAATGGAAACTACTCAGAATATGGCTTCTGGATTTTCCCCCCAAATCCTTCACAATAATTTTCCCTGAATCCCATGACCAGGAGAGAGAGGGGCTTAGAATGGAAAAGTTCATAATATTGCAAGCTACTGCCAAACTGCCTCTCCCATAGGAATGTGTTGGGAATTTTTTTTCTGGAATACTTTTTCTTCCTGGCCTGATCTGGTCCATTTTCAAACTCAACATTTCTTTTGCTGGCTTCTCGGCATACAACAAATTTGGCCCCATTCTGTTCAGTGTTTTGGAAATAAACCTGATGATTGACAAATAGAATTCTCAGCCCCTTCACATTTCTTTCCATTATTCTGTTGGGTTGGAAAGAATTAAAAAAAGGGTATTTGGTAGAACGATGAACTGAAAGAGGCTGTGGATGAGAACAAATGCATATCATAGAATGGTTGCTACAATAAAATCAGAATGAGAGAAAGCTATTGTATAGTGTGTGTGTGTATATACACACACAAATATAAATTACAAGGAATGTAGTCAAAAAAGCAAGGAATACTTAAGATTAAAAGATGCAGATAATGCAAAGTGATTTTGATGGGGAAAATTGTTTTGGAAGTAAATGAAGAGGGTTAAGCAAGCAGATCCAAGAAGAGTCAACAGGATACTAATAAAAGTGATAGAATTATTTGGGATGAAACCAAGATAAGTAAATGCTAAAAGGAGTATTGTAGAGATATAAATAAGAAATTCAGTGCTATATCAAAGAATGGAACTGAAAGTAATGCTAGAAATAGAAAGTTTCCAAGAAAAAACGATAGACCGGAAGTCATAAGGGCTGTGAAAATGTTTAAAAATTGTAACTTTAGGTGAAGATGATACAACCAGAGAAATGATAAAATATAGATGTTGTTTCCTTATGGATTAGCTGTGCAGTTTGTTTAAACTGCATGTAAAGATTATGGAAGATATAATGGCATTATAATGACATTAGAGGTGTATTGGAAGGACATAAATGTGCATATACAGATGATACTAAATTGATGGCAGAGAATCCAAATTATTTGCTGCCAGTGTTTAATAGATAGTATGATGCTAGGAGGAATATGGATCTGAAAACTAATGTAGCCAAACCAAGGTAGTTGCATTTGGCAAAGAAAATGAACTGGACAATTACAAATTATTCACAAAAGGTGAAAAACCTGAGCAAGTAGATGAATTTGTGTACTGTGTAGAATGTTTATTAAGGATGGGAAAATGGAGAACTCTGAAGGCATGCAAAGACGAGTAGAAAGGCACTTGGTAGTATGTGGTCTGTGGTGAGGAATGAATGCAAAAATGGCTGTATATCAGAGTGTGTTTCTGCCTACTTTATTATACGGAAGTGAGAGTCGCGTATGTTTGACGAATTATAACAGCAAAATGGCTGCACTGAGAATGGGTTACTTAAGTGTACGTGACAAAACAAGATATAGAGTCAAGAATGAATGCGTGCAGAATGAATGTGGACTGACTATGCACGTGAGGGACTAGTACAAAAGAAGTTAATTAAGGTGATTTGGTCATATAGAGATAATGAATGAGGAGTGAATCACTAAACAAATCTATGAAGGTTACCTTGTAAGGCTATCACCATCCTACATGCAATTTAAAAATTAAAGATATTCTTAAACTGAGCTTGATAGTCTGCAGCCTGGATATTCCTCAGAGGTCTCCTGTCTAAGTATTACAAAGGCCCAATCACGTTTAGCTTCCAAGCCCAGCTAGGGTCTGCCAGGTCCAACCTTCTGAGACGTTCTCCTAGTGACTACATGAACTCAGCCATCTTGCTTTCCTTACAACACTCCTGCTTTGCTGCTGTCTTTCCCAGACTTTTCTTCTCCCCAGTTTAGCCTTTAGCCCTAGGATTTCCTAGTGGTTTCCCATCCAAGTACTACAACTATTTCTTTTTTCCAAGATTAGCCAAGGGTTGATAAGTGCTGCCACCTGCTGTGAGTACTTTTGGGGAGGGGGGAAAAAACCTTGCAGGAAGGGGCCACGGCATGCAAAATATTTCAGATTCAATCCCAAGTATCCCTACATAGGATTTGGGAAGAGTCTGATCTTCCCTAAAATTCCGGGGAGCAGCACCAGATAAGGTTGACCACAATGAGTCTCAAGGGCCAGTAGGCTTCCCTCCGTCGACAGAAGGGTCCTACGCCATGTCACCCTTTATAACAGAAAAGGCACTTCTGGCACAGGGAAGCCCACGGACGGAGCCGCCAAAGAGAAACGGCACTGCTGAAATGTTGGGGCACGAAACTCCAAGCATCGCGACACCGCCAAGAGAGCGACGCAATTCTTTCCTAGGGGTAAGATTATTTTCCCAAACTAATTACCAGATGCACAGCTATTCAGTGGCGTTTAACAGAAACTCTTCGCGTGCTCAGGAACGGTCTAGTCTTCCTTCCTTCATTCGTCCCGGGGACCGGGCTCCGGCGTTAGCAAGAACAAGAATGCAAGCTGGACTTCCGAAAACTTCCCCAAACACGCCACCTCCGAAGCAAACGGTACATGCCCCGGTGCGACTTTGCCTGCGCGTTGTGACTCCCCTCCTCAGTCGGACTGATCCACGGGGCAGGAAAACGGAGGGGGTGCCGCCTTTCCGCTTTCCTGGACGGTCGGGTGTCATAAACGTTTGTTCGCTTCCCCCCTCTAACCACCCGAAGACAATAGGCCAAAACGATACAGGGGTGGCACCAAGAGGAAGGGGCTCACCGCGGGAGAGCATCTTTTCCCTCCCTTCTTGCTCTTCGACCGCCACTCCCCGGCCCGCTTACTTAGTACGGCCCCATCCTGTGAAGAGGTTCCCGTTGGCCCGGGGGAGCCGAGCCGCGGGCTTGCGAGCCAGAGGAGGGGGACGCGGCTGCGCTCCGCCGCCCGCCGCTCCGAGCGGACGCCGGCCAGGCGGGGCCTCGCGCACGAGCGCGGGGGCCCCCGGGGT